GCCCTGCATAAAACAATATGTCGTTTCATAAGACATGTCGTTTGTCTAGTATATCAGCCTTTTTCTCGTTTTGTTCGTAGAAGATGAGATGAGAACAAACACGTGGTTCGCCGTATGGAAGTTTGTTGCCGTAAAAGAAGTCATAGATACGACGTATTCAATTTAAATATTGTCGTGGTAAACGGTATCTGGCAACAACATCTAAGATTTGGCGTTGACATCTCAATTCAACTATCATGTTCAAGTGTCGGGCTGTTGGTTGAACACTTGAACTAGAGAGCAATCACCTTTGCAACGACTTGGGAAGTATTGACATTCAGTTATTTAACAGGAAGCCGGGGAATAAGCACTGGATCTAGTTGTTTTTTCTAATGATTCAGTCCCACAAGCCATAGCTTGGATGGCAGCAGAGTTATAGTAAAAGAAGCCACGGGAAACAAAGGCACAAATAAATAGCTACATAGGTCGAATAGAAGCTTTAAGAGATAGGGGCCATCCACTGAAGATGGCAGCGGGAAAGACGGGAGCATGAACGAGGAAAAGTAAAACAGTAAAAATTACATAATGTTGATCCTTTTCAAATTAACATAACTTTTAACAGATGTAAACCAGTCAAATATGCATCACAATCATAGGTGACTACGAGATATGTATCTATCATCCCTTTTACATCTTATACATAGCTTAGGAGAAAGAAAAAACTGTGTTCTAGTTTATGCCCCAAATCCATGGTTTTGAACTCTAAACACACATGAACATAAATACCTTATGTGTAGCCTTCTTTACCAAAATGGATGCGCAGTCACGGATTGGCCATGGGGACATGATGCTCAAGAGTCCAGGGTTCATGACCTGTCAAGTGCTACAAACTCAACTTTTATAAAACGAAGTCTCAGTTTCCATCTTTTCATGGTACCATTCGGATTTTCTTTGTGGATGAAGTGTATATTATTCTATTATGTTGCATAAAATGTGTGGTAGGATAGAAAAAGTTGTGGTATAGGAACCTATTTGAACTTACATTTTGGATTTTTTTAGTTTCCGCTTTGATCTAACACAAGGACACTTTTTTAGTTAAAGATTAAGGACAAAGTTAAACAACATGAGAGCAACACAGAAAAAGATTGACAATGTCGTTAAAATGTCACGACCTTGTCTTTTTTGTTTTTTGAGGTGGAAGAGTAGTTTAATCTACTTTAAAAATAATGAGATCTAGAGGAATACCCCTCCAGTGATATGGCAAAGAGATTGGCGGAAAAATGGCATGAACTCAATGTAATAATAAAACAAAGATTTAAATTTGTTAATGTTAAGTATAGATGTTTTATTTGCCAAAGTAAAGAGAGTAAAATATACAAATGTTATCCTTGTTATCTGAAAACAACTTATTTAATGAAATAAATAACCTAACTAAATTTCATAACTCACCAGATAGTTTATGCCATGTCCAATACTTTCAAAACTCCCACTCCAAATTGAAGCGTACTTCCTCATTTATTGTAAGTGATGACTGTTAGAAATCAAATATTTGGTGAAAACCACCACCAAAAAGTTAAGAACATTCATGTTAGATCATCAAGAATTAATAAATCTGTAAGCGGAAGCGTACCTGAATCCATATTACTTGATTTCTCTCTAGAGTCGTGCAGTTTGTCTTCCAGATCAACACGTTTTCCTAGATAACCTTTTAACTTTCTCTCTGTACTCTTTCTGATGATGGGATGTTAGAATGAATGAAATGATACATGTGATCTGGGGACCATAACTGCTATATATTGATAACTTCCCTGTTATCTTTTGGTATTTCTATTTTAGCCCATCATAAAAATAGAAATTACCCTTAAGTCTCTACACATTAAAGGTTCACACCCTATTAGATACATTAAAGCCCAAAATACCTAAACCTTAGTAGATCACTTTTAATTAGGCTTAACCTTATATGACAGCCCGCAACACATAATTATTCACATATAAGCCCAACATTGGATTAAGGATCCAACAATGACCACGTCTCTAACTGAGGTAAATGAAGAATCCGCTCAACTTCAATGTGTCGGAAGCTCTCAACCTTTGCAGCTTTCAAGTCATGACGCCAGCATTTCAGGTAAGAAGAACTGCAACATGATGGATGTTCTTTGTGCAATAGCTTCTGGCAGATAACCTACAACAATAATATAGCAACTGTCAGTGCACTTTCTAGTCGATGTCACAACTTCAAATCCTTGCCTTCTTCTAAACCATTTGCGAATCTATGATTTATGTCAAGTTATTCAGGACAACAGAATCACTCATTAGCCTATTCTAACAACACATATCAGGAAGAAACACCCCAAATACCAATACCGGCTACGAACCTCATACCAACCAGTATGTTTTTCCATTTGGTAGCAAAAAAAAGAAAAGACCGTCACCTTTACGCAAATGTTTTGGAATGTAGAACCTGGGAGAACAGATATTGTCATCGGATGACAACTCCAAAGCAGGCCATCTATAAGAGCTTCACAATCAAATGATCCGTCAAAGTGAAAAGAAGTTATCTTCTGATAAGCCTGATAAGCCTTTGCTTAAGGCAAGAGGGAATAAGAGGTTGCAGGGCTGAGTTAGTGGGTAGTTTGTTAGTAGTTAGAAAGCTGAGAGTTGTATAGGGCCGAGTGTTGTTTAGGGGAATAGTCGGTTAAGGTGGGGGATACACGGGATTAGTCGGTTGAATAAATAGGGATGAAGCAGGAAATAGAAAGACAGGAAAGTACTGGAGTCTTGTTGAGAAAGTCTTGGCTCAGATTAAGCAGGGGAGGTTTCGCAATACCTCGAAGGACTGCTCTGTAATTCATTTCGATCACATTTTCATTCTTCTTCATTCATTTATGTTGTAGTCAATACTCTATTCTTATCATTTTGGTATCAGAGCGTTAATTCTGGGCAATTATGGCGGGTAGGAAAACAGATGACCAGTTTAAATCTGTGGAGAAGGAGATTAAGGAAGTTAGGGTTTCGATGGAAAAGGGAATCTGTGAGATGGAGAAAGGGTTCGGGGAGGTTAGGGCGGAATTAACTCAAAATAGGGCGGAATTTACTCAGAATTTGACTGAGATCCGCCGACTGATGGAAGAACAGATGACGTTTTTCTCGGCACCAGCGTTGGCGCCGGAAAAGACAGGAGCTCCAACGACCACGGTCGAAGAAGATCGCGAGGCGAATCGCGCCGGAGTTGCGAAATCACACCTGGCGGAAACTTCTGGGTGGCGCGCAAGGCAAGAAGAACGGTCAGTGGACCCTAGGGTTTCGCAGAACGTGGTTTTTCCAGCGGGAGACACCGGTTTGCGCGAGCAAGGCGTAGATCGAGCGGCTGATCTTAGGATTCCACGGAATCCATGTCGCGAAGAGAGAGAGGAGGTGCGCGAGTTTGCTAGGGAGGTTCCGATGGGTACCCAAGGGAAAAATTGGTACCGGGGTGAGGGGCGAGGTGTTTTCATGGAAGGGGAGGCTCCGAAGTTCGACGAACGGCGGGCTGGATTGGGCGGTCTTGTTCACCGAGGAGTGGAAAGAGGAAGAAACCCTAACGTTGGTATACGGTTCAGAAACCCTAAATTTTAATAAGGTATATAGGTAAGGTTTTATTCGTCTCTTCATTGTGAATTAAAACGAAAAAGTTATAACGTTTTTAAGAATAGAAAAAATATTATTCATTAACTTGAGTTTGAGCTTAAGAACTTGAGTTGAAGGGAAAATTTGAACTCAGGATCCGTTTAATTCGTTGATTCGAGTTTTTAATTTGAGTTGAGATGTGATTTTATGTGAAAGCTTTTTCACTGTAGCAAAAAAAAATTAGATGTGACTGTTTATGAGAGCTTTTTACTGTAGTAAAACTCGAATCAGCGAAATGAACGAGATCTCAGATTTTAGCTCCAAACTCAAGTTCAAACTCAAGTTCAAACTCAAATTTTACGAACGAACATAAACTTAAATAAAGTTGTAACTTGAGTTCAAATTTATTTTGAGTTTTACTCCAAAAGAACAAACCCTGCTACTGACACTTCCTTAAACTTAGACTATTGTTTCTTTTTTTGGTCTTATTTTATTAAACAAACTCATTTGATTATAAGTTATTTTTTACCGAGGCATTGTTTGGTATAAGAGTTCTGAACTTGAAATCATGATTCTAGTTCAAATCAGTATTTGTTTATAAAAAGTAAAAAGTGGTTCTGATTTGACTCACTTAGAATTAGTGTTTAGTTTAGATGGTTATGATTCAAGATTTGAACCATAATGTGATATTTTAAATCAAGAATCACCTTAATTTTAAAACCATCCCATTGATTTTGGGTGGTTAAAACCCATGATTTTGATTTCATAACTATAATTTGGATCCAAAATCATAAATCATAGTTTTTATTCAAAAATTAAAATTAAAATCGCCATAATTTAACCTCTCATACTAAACGAATCCTAACTTATTAAAACATTGCCACTATCACATTTTGTCTGACTGTATTCTTCTTCGGTCCATCTTTTTCTATTTTTCTGAAACCTCTCCATATGACATCGCATAAGCCAAACCATTACATAACAAAAGAAAGGAAAAAGAAAAGGGAAACAAGGTTCGAGTTTTTATTATACTATAACCCGATTTAATGAAAGTATCAGTCTTTTTCCCTCTTTACGACACACCCAAACTCAAAGGGCACATCAAATTCCTAAAATATTCATTCATCTTATAAAATGAAGCAAAGTTCTTAATTCATGTGGATTATTTTAAAATTTTATTGTCGTTTAGATCAAAATTTGTCACTGCTCGTCATGAAAATACACGGGGCCCCGTGGGCTGTGGGTAAGGGTTGCCTTTAACACACTGTCGTTTATTCGCGTCTCTGTCTTAAATTACACGTCGTTTACACGAAAGTCTGCTGTCGTTTCAGGATACAATAGTCATGTCATTTCTTCAAGATACTATTATAATATCTAAAACATTCGGATCCGAGCTCGGATCCGGAGTCGGTGTATATATAGTGAGAAGCAGAGCTGCAGAAATACAGAATCACCTCCTCACACGTCTTTGCCCTCTCTCCAAGCCGAGCTCTCTGCTAAACCCAACCGCTCTTTGCTTCTTCCTCATCACCGATTCTCTTCAACCATGATTACAGGTTTAGTTAATTTTTCGACGTTGATTTCTCATCTACTCCTTTATTTGCTTTATGTTTTTGCCCAACTGGAGATTTTATTTTATTTTTGTTAATTTCTGTGGCTCTTGAGCAATTTTCTTTGTAGCTTGAACAAACTGTGAATCTTGTTCTGTATTTATTTATTTTCCACTAATCGGGAATTACCGTTATTGCGAGACTAAGCTTTTTCTTTTCTGTACATTGAATGTCATAGGAAATGATTAGAGCTCTGCTTAACGGCGTTTATTTTAGAGTTTCAGATCTGGGTCATCGAGAACTGTAGATTTCTAAGATTGGATTTTAGAGTTTCGAGTTTTTTGCTTCATTTTTTGTATTATTTGTATACACTGATAAACTGGCATCGTTTGTTATCTTCGTTTCGTTTGCAAGTTTATAGGTTTGCTAAAATGTGACAATCTTTGATATAACAAAGAATCTAAATGAATATTGGAAATTACCTTTTGTTTGGCATCTTGTAGGGCCATAGATTCTTGATATTCGGGGTTTCTAGTTTTAGTCATTGACAGCTTTTTCTTGTTCGTTTAGTGAGTGTTAAATGGCAAAAGGAGCTGTTTAAATCTGTGGAAATCGACACTACTCAGCCCCCTTATGTGTTCAAATGCCAGTTGTACGATCTGACCGGGGTACCTCCCGAAAGGCAGAAAATCATGGTTAAAGGTGGTTTATTGAAGGTAAAGGATGGCTACATATGAAGTTGCTTGGTCAAATCAAGTCGTTTTTTTTCAATCCTATTTGGCGGTTTGGCCCATGTCTGAACTTTTAACAAAATCGTCCGCTGTGTGGTTAAATGAAGTAATATTCTTTTTTTTTTTGTTCCTTTCTTTTTCTTACGATACAGGACGATGCAGATTGGTCAACACTAGGAGTAAAAGTGGTGATTGTGTTGTGGTTGTCTCATTGTATTTTTTTGTTTTTTTTATTATTTATTTTTTATTGTGGGTGATGACTGTGTATCATGTTTGTGACTGTGTAGGGTCAAAAATTGATGATGATGGGAACAGCAGATGAGATAGTCAAGGCTCCAGAGAAGGGTCCTGTTTTTATGGAAGATCTTCCAGAAGAAGAACAAGTCGTTAGTTTGGTAAGGTTTCATGATTCTCTCTTGTGTTTTACAAATGTAATAGGAAGTTGTTACTATTTTTCTTCATTAAACTTAATAAATGATTTGTGGTTGAGTTATGGAATATGATTCTTGCACGCTGTTCCCTTCTGAACTCATTACATAATTTGTTTTTGCCTCCTAATATTTCATCACATTTTTTTTATGTTAAGCTTGCATTTTCTTCATGTAAAGCAATATCTAGTCGATTTGTTCCCATTTTTTATCCTGATTCTGTCTTTCGCTGAGACTTTCTGCTTTATTATTCTAGTGGGTATTTCAGTTGGGTCAAACAATGAGTTATTTTCCTTCTGATATGTTGTTGTTAATAATTCAAAAAATTATCTAATAGTACTTATGCCTTTGTCAATTTCTATATTCATTTTCCGTTCGACATATCTTTAAAGGTTTTCAGTTGATTAGCATTTCCTCTTCTCATATGTTATTAATTTATTTGATTCAGCTTAGTGTGTTGGGATTGTTTTCTCTAAGTTCCTGGAAATATCCTTTTCTATTTTGTTATTTAAGTCTTTTACTCTTCTTTAGGATTTAATATTCTTGAACAATCCTATACGTGCTTTTAGGGTCATAGTGCTGGTTTATTTAATTTGGGAAACACCTGCTACATGAATTCCACTGTACAATGTCTGCATTCTGTTCCAGAATTGAAGTCGGCTTTAATAAAGTAAGTTTTTTCCCCCTCTAGTAAATAGTGTGTATTAATTTGCAGAAACTTATTGATAAGGATATGACTCGTTTGTCCTTACTAGGTATTCTCATTCTGGTAGAAGCAATGAAGTGGATCAAACTTCTCACATGTTAACAATTGCAACACGTGATCTATTCAATGAACTCGATAATAGTGTTAAGGCTGTAGCACCCATGCAATTTTGGATGGTTTGTTCTTTTCTTTCACTATGTTGTTTAATATTTTGCACTGCCTGTTATGTAACTCCTAGGACCGTTGTATCTTCTGGATCAAGTTTTATGGTATTTGCAGGGCATTCTTTAGTCATTGCAAATTCTTTTACGGTTACTTTTAATAAAAATAGGATATGTCATAATGTATACGGTATACCTTTTCAAGTTCTGCTATAATTTGCAAAGTCCATACTCCATGTTTTTGTTTGTATGCATGTTTTCAGTTTAGTAACGTTCCCTCCTAATTTTCAGGATATGTATACCAAAAGAAAAGGGATGATAAAAATCATAGTCCGTATATTTATTAAACAAGTGTTAGTTTGTGCCTTATGTCTGTTTATGCCTTTATGTAATGAATTCCTTATCCCCAGATTGTTGTTGTTGTTGTTGTTGTGTGTGTGTGTTATTTTTATTTTTCTGGCCATTGTGGGTTGTTCTGCTGTTTCAGATATTTATGAAAGTAGAATTCTTTATAGGATCTATTCATGCAATCTCATAAATGTATGTTGTTAGTTTTCTGTTCTCTCACTGATTGATGTAGAAATATTTAATGCTGATTGCCATTATTCTTGCAGGTCTTGCGTAAAAAATACCCTCAGTTTGGTCAAATGCATAATAATTTCTTTATGCAACAGGTTTTTTAACTCCCCGTGACTAATTGTAACCGTACTGTTGCCTCAATCTGGCAGTAGATTGATCAATTTGTTCTGAACCTATGGCAGGATGCTGAAGAATGTTGGACACAACTTCTATACACGCTTTCGCAATCTCTGAGATCAGCAGGTTCTAGGTAGTATATCTTTATGTTCATGGCGTACAACAATAAATTTTTTTTGGTCTTTCATGGAACTAGATAATTTCTTTTGCTTCTGAAACAATGACATGTTGAGACAACCTACACACTTGTTGAGCCAACCTTCACTCTACACTTCCTGCTTAATATTAACACCAGGCTACCTTGGACATGCTCTGAACTCAACCGCATATTATTAGAACTGAAACCATTTCTCTTCATTAGCATTTTTCACTCTCTGCGTTTAGTGGCATGTGTTTCTACTTTGTCTCTACTTGCTGAAATGGTGCTCATTTGTCATTCCGTTCTCTTGCAGTGAAAATCCAGATGCACTCAAGGTACTATTCGGTGTCGACCTAGTTAGCAGGTTAGATATCTGTAGTTTATAACCTGTTGTATCCTAAGTAGATATTTGCTTATACTCGGTAGCTTTATATTCTGCTGGAGGAAGGCAGATTGCTATAAAGCCGCAAATGCATACTTAACTCTTGTTTTGTGGATTGTAATTCTTGAAAAATGAAATTTAACTATTGAATTTTGTGTTATTTCTGCACTATTAATGTGCCTGCTTTCTGTAGCTACGAACTCCCTTATCACTTGTTGGTCTGTATGTGCCGGTTTCTTTCCCTTTTTTTTCTCTTCTTCTTCTTCTTTTTTGCGTGCTCACAACTAAGAGTTCAGTTCGTGACTGTAACTAGTTGAATCATGGTGCCAGAGCTGTACTTTATTGTGTAAAGAACTTCCTATAGAATTTTAAAGACAGAAACTTCTATGAAGTCTCTAATCTCTACTATTGCTGTGCTGTGCTGTGAATGGGATGATAGGGTTCATTGCCAGGAAAGTGGGGAAGAAACCACAGAAACAGAATCAGTTTATTCCCTTAAATGCCACATATCACATGAGGTGAACCATTTACATGAAGGACTAAAACATGTAAGGTTAATCACATATATCTTATGTTGTGAATAATTTTTATTTACTCCGTATGTTATGTCCCTGTGACAGTTTGGAGTTTATCTCCTTACCTTGTTCTGGCTGTCTTTCTATCCGTATGTTGGTTTCTCTCCAGAGAAAATTTTCATTTCCTGCTTTATTCTAGTAATATAGTAAAACCAGAATAAGAATAAGTGTATTTATGTTTTCACTGACACGTGTAGGGTTTAAAATCAGAACTAGAAAAGAATTCTCCTTCTTTGGGGCGTAGTGCAATCTACTTGAAGGAGTCTCGTATCAATGGCCTGCCAAGGTACATTTGGCTTTTCCCGCTTGCTATCATTCTTTTAGCTTTTGAGACACCAATACTCTTGCAGATCATGGCCATGCAGTTTTGCAAAACTCCTTGTTTAACTTGTGCAATGAAGAATATCCTAATTTAAGTTTGTTGGTGCACGTCTTTTTTAACTGCTTGTGCTGGTTGTATTAACTGAATTTATTGGGTCCTACTCCCAACAAACCTTCTGAGAGAAAATAGTTCTTGATGTTGAATAGTTTCCTTTATATATATATTCCGCTGAAGGTTATTTATTTATTTATTTATTTTTGGGTGGGCTTTATTTTTAAGGTACTTGACTATTCAGTTTGTTCGCTTTTTCTGGAAGAGGGAATCAAATCAGAAGGCCAAGATTTTGCGGGTGAGGCCTATTTTCTTTCTGTACTCTATATTCTCTTCGACTATGATCCTCTATAACAAATGTGTACCAAGTCTAGTTTTACAGAAAGAGCTAGTGTGTTTGATTAATTAACTTTTTTTTTTCTGTTCAAACTTACCACCCTGGCATCTTCTTTCATTTTCAATAATTCAAAAACTAAATGTTAGAATCATTGTGCTGTTACTTCTCTCAGAAAGTAGATTATCCGTTGGAGTTGGATGTTTATGATCTCTGTTCAGATGATCTTCGCAAAAAATTGGAAGGCCCTCGTCAGGTGCCCACTTGCATTTCCAAGATTTGTATAAATTCGAATTTTTTTCATTTCAGTAGCAATCAATGCTTATCTTCCATAGTGGTCCTCATTTTTAATTTTCTTTTGCAAAAACAGATTTTACGGGATGAAGAAGGCAAAAAGCTTGGCTTGAAAGCTAGTGGGAAGGGCTCTACTTCGAAAGACACTGATGTCAAGATGTCTGAGGCAGAGGTGAGTACGCAACCCAGTTACAAGCCTTCCCATACAAAGCTTTTGAAGATGCATATCTGGTTATATATATATATATATAT